CTGCGCAGTAGGCCCTTGTTTTCAGGCTTTTAGGCTGCAATGACACAGGGCCTGTAGGCCCTCGTTTTCAGGCTTTTGGGCTGAAACGGCACAGGTCCTGTAGGCCCTTGTTTTCAGACTTTTAGGCTGAAAGGACATAGGGCCTGTAGGGCCCTGAATTTCCGTCTGGTCGGGCCCTGCAGGCCCGTGTGGCTGCGCAGTATGCCACACCCCCCCCTCCTTGAAAGACCGAGCTTATGCGAGGGCGAAGCTGTCTGTCGGAGGGAGGGACCAAAGTCCGGGTGGGAGGGGCATGCTGTGAAGCTTCCTTAGCTTGTCTTCATCGCAGGTAGTCGGCGTAGATTAGCGGTGCAGATGCTAACTTCGTGTCCGAAATGTCGAAGGACACGGCCTCCCTTGCATGCGGGGCAAAGTACACGGGGGCGGAATCAATGCACCGGTCGATGGACTTGTGCGTGTGACTGTCGGCCAACGTGACTTGAGTGGGCTGCAACTTCCTCCAAACGCGAGGCCCAAGGCCAACGCGTACCATGGAGTGTTAGCTCATATAGTTGCGAGTAGCTCCGCAATCGATCAAAGCGTTGCAGGTCGCCTCTCCGATCTGAATGCGTATATACAACAATGGCGCATCAATGTCGTGAAGGTTGACAACCTCTACTCTGAATGCGCATGTTTGTGCCTGGGTGGTTTGTGACTTGAACTCGCGGTCGATCTTCGCTGCATAGTCGTGAAGGTCGACAACCTCTACTCTGGCGTCCATCAACGGAGCTGGTACTGCAATGTGCAAGTAATCCCCCAATTGTGCCATGAGCACGACAATCGACTGGACGGGGGAAGGAGCATCCATGGAAGTCCGCAAACGTCAACAGGTCGAGTTCTTGAAGTCTTGACCATGACGTCGAATCCCCGACCATAGTTGGTGGCGAAGCGGCCGAATCAGTTGTCGAGGATGGTGAAACCGTGCATGCGATGGATTGTTGCACGTGGAGTGGTTGGTCCAACGGTGGGCCCAAGTGCACAGCGTAGTCCTCGTAAGTGAACCGAGGACTCGCGACATCCGCATTCTCCCCAGATGTGTAGGAGGCCGCTAGCAAGGTGGCCGAAGATTCGCGACATCTGCACTCTCCCCAGATGTGTAGGAGGCCGCTAGCAAGGCGCCCGAATCAAGCGGAGTGAGAGGTCGAGTCGCCTCACCTCCCGCACAACTCACTTTCCCGAGTTGATGCGAGGCCAAACATCCTCTTTGCCTTTATCCTGGCAGTGGGAGGTTACTTGTGGTACTGACTGTCCACTTCCGGCGGGCGATGAGGTTTTTGCCTTCCCTTTTCCTCGAGAATTGTTGTTGCTTCGGGGCTGGGGGACCAAGTGGACAGCGTAGTCCACATAAGTGAACCGAGGACTCGCGACATCCGCATTCTCCGCAGATGTGTAGGAGGCCGCTAGCAAGGTGGCCGAAGACTCGTGACATCTGCCTTCTCCCTTGATGTGTAGGGGGCCGCTAGCAAGGCGCCCGAATCTGGCGGAGTGAGAGGTGGAGTCGCCTCACCTCCCGCGCAACTCACTTTCCCGAGTTGATGTGAGGCCGAACATCCTCCTTGCCTTGATCCTGGTAGTGGGAGGTTACTTGTATTCGGCCTCGGTCAAGTTGAATTTGCCCCATGGTACTGGCTGTCCATTTCCGGCCGGCGATGAGGTTTTTGCCTTCCCTTTTCCTCGGGAGTTGTTGTTGCTTCGCGGCTGGACAGCGGTCACCTGATCTCCCTCACGTGATGCTTGGGTGGCTGCCGAGTCTTCCACAATGGTGTCCAGTTGGACTGCAGCGACATGCTGCGGACGCAGACCAAATTTTCCCTTCTCCACATGGGCTGGCTGCCACGCTGTCTTCTCGTGTGCAGCAGCCCCTACTGTATTTCCTCGATCAAAACGCATACGCTTTGTTTTCAAGTTTCCGGAAAAAAATCGATTTTCCGAAAGTTAGTCCACTTTTCTCGAATCGTAGGGCACTTCCGATAGAACGCATATGCATTGTATTTCTAATAAAAGTGTATGCGTCATACATGCGGCGCATCGCGTGCGCACAAGTTGTGCACGTGTGGCGGATAGCGCACGTGCAGGCATGCGCGCGCATATGATGCAGCGCAGAGTACGAAAAATAGGGTCACTTAAAATTTTCAAAAAGGGCATGCCGTGGTAGCCAAATGTCCCCCTCCCTTCTGAAATTGTAAGTGCACCGAAAAAATAAATTTGTGGCCACATCGTACTCATTGGATCTAGTCTCTTTTCCAAAGGGGCCCCAACAGAGAATTAGCAAGGGTCCCATTTCTTTGGAGAGACATTCATCGGGATATAGGTGAGACAAGAGCAGGCCAGCAATATATTCTGGATTCGAATTCAGGTGTGTTCCAGCAGTTATGGGTTACTAACTTACAACTAATCCTACAGTAGCTCTCGTTTTTTTCATTTTTCCTCTTCTTAGGGCATACTCACACTAGGCCCTCAAAATTGCAAAATCGCAAAATGAGCAGCCAGATTGAGTCCCTGTGAAAGGAGGACTCGATCTGGCCGCTCATTTTGCGATTCTGCCATTTTGAGGGCCAAGTGTGAGTATGCCCTTACATGCAGCGGCCCTAAGGATCTCACTCCACTAGTCACCACTTGCACAAAAGACAAAACATATGGCAGCATATGGTTCCAGTTTCTAGGAGAAGATTCATTCTACTTTTGCACATTTGGCGAGTATTGGAGTGAAGACCATGAAGCACAGGAAATCACACGGTGTGTAAGTAAGTTAGTAACCCATAACTGCTGAAACACGGACCTGAATTCGAAGCTAGACCATACATAGTTGGCCTGCTACTGCCTTCCTACAAGTCCAGCGACTGCCGTTTTCTTTGTCAGGAAACCTGTTACGTGCCTGACTGAAACGAGATACAGCATGGCATACACACGTCCCCATACACATGCGCAACCACAAGAGATTTTGGAGAAAGAAATTCACACCACTCCAGATGAGAGAATACACAGCGGAAGCACTTCACAACCAAAATATAACTGAAATTAATCAATTGCAAGGACTTTACCCCTCGGCATACCCGCATAAGGCCCTGCTGCAGGCATGTGCCCGCCACCACTCCAGATGAGAGCATACACAGCAGAAGCACTTGAAAAGATTGCAAGGACTTTACCCCTCGGCATAGCCGCATAAGGCCCTGCTGCAGGCATGTGCCCGCCTTAAGTGCTGGATGGCCCCCTGAATTTGAATGTGCCCTGATCTCGGCAATTTTTGCAAATCTTGGTGGGCATTAGACAGTTGCCACGCGCCAGTTGGTTACATCCGCCTTGCTCGTGAGAATCGAAAATATAAGTGAGCCTTCCAGGCTCTTCCAGCAACGTGGTCGAAGCAGGGAAAGCCGCTGCTGCAGGCATGTGCCCGCCACCACTCCAGATGAGAGCATACACAGCGGAAGCACTTTACAAGATTGCAAGGACTTTACCCCTCGGCATAGCCGCATAAGGCCCTGCTGCAGGCATGTGCCTGCCTTAAGTGCTGGATGGCCCCCTGAATCTCAATGTGCCCTGATCGCGGCAATTTTTGCAAATCTTGGTGGGCATTAGACAGTTGCCACGCGCCAGATGGTTACATCCGCTTTGCTCGTGAGAATCGAAAATATAAGTGAGCCTTCCAGGCTCTTCCAGCAACGTGGTCGAAGCAGGGAAAGCCGCATGTTTGTGCCTGGGTGGTTGGGCATGCCTAACCAATTCGGTCCCAGGCCACTGTCTGAACGGGCCTGGGTGCAGACACTTTGGCCGAGACTGAAGCTACGGGAAACACAGCCTCACGGGGGCAAGGGGAGGACAAAGCGCCTCGCCTCTCTCCATATAGGAAAGGGCTGGGCTACAGGGCAGACAATGGGGTACTTGTTTGGCCGAGACTGAAGCTACGGGAAACACAGCCTCACGGGGGCAAGGGGAGGACAAAGCGCCTCGCCTCTCTCCATATAGGAAAGGGCTGGGCTACAGGGCAGACAATGGGGTACTTGGTAGAGCGGGCCGCAGCGCTGCTGCAGCGGGCGCTCGTGTGCCACTGCTAGCTGTGCAAATGCCCACGCGTGTGTGCGGACGTGCAGGGTGTAGGGCACTGCTGCTGGCAGCGCCATAGCCAGGGCTTGGCTTGGATAGCAAGTGGAGGTGGTGGTGGTCTTCGTGCACGCGAAGCAAGACGTGGATGAAGAAGACGAGGGGGGAGGGGGGGGGCGCGAGAGAGAGAGAGAGAGAGAGATGAGGATGTGAGGGAACGTACCTGGTCTTGGCGACGGTCTACAGGGCTGACATCTTCATGTAACAGGATGCATTGTCAGTTCCTAGGTTGAGTTGTAGCCGTGTGATCAGAGTCTGGGCGTTGAGTGCCAAGTAGGAGGAAGGGCTCTGGATACATATGTTGGTGGTGGCGAGAGTATCCTCTCATTGGCATTTGGATTCGGTGCTTTGGTTCTCCGTGTCAGTGCACATCTGCTTTCTGGACAGTGTTGCATTCTGGATTTCTGTCATTTTGCTATCGCTCATTTTGCTTGCAATTTGGTCTCGGAGCTGGTTCAAGCCGCTCCGCTGGCTCCTTTGCAATAGCTGTTTGGTCCTTCACTGGATATGGTGGGGCAGTGATAACGCTTGTGCGTTGGTGTGTTGGCGGCCCAGTGTCATGTGGGCGCACCAGGAAGGCTATGTTGTCACATAGGGGTGCACATTGAATGATAAGAGCTTGCTCATGTGGAATTTAAACCGAGGTGGAACTGCATTGTATTGTGGGTTGTGTCGAGGCATCGACCGGTCATCATAAATGCACGTAAGCTTACTGGTGAGAAATCTGCCCTGGGAAAAAGGTCTAGATACATCAAAATGAAAGGGGTGGTCCCCTACTATCAGATATATACCTTAATGCTCTCCAACCCATTATCAAAAAATAAAAGAAAAACAATTCTGGAAATGGCAAAAGCTCAGCTATCTCGTTAAATTCGAGATAGCTGGGATAAAGAAAAGAAAAAAGAAAATGGGACAGTTAAAGAAACTGCCCCCGCTAAGGCTGTGGCTGTCGTGCGGCCACAGTTAGACTTGATCTTGGCCGGAGTGACGTCCAGCCCTCCTCAACCATTATAAAACAGGCAGCTGTCCCCAGCTGCCACATAGAAAGCACTCGTGCTGCCAGTGTGGCAAGCACACTTGAGTGCTGCTGGGCTGCCCGAGGAGCTGCCAGAGGCACCGTGGGAGCTAGGCTGGAGGTCTGCAGAGCGCGAGAGGAGCAGGGCAGCCATAGTGGGGGTAGGGAGCACTCTGCTCCACTTCCCTTTGGCTGGTGCTCGTCCAGTGGAGCGGCACGCGGGACTCTGCGGGACCAAGGCGACACGGCAGGAGGCTGTTTTGGGCCTGGATTTTGTCCAAGGCCCAAAATTTTATTAATTTGGCGATGGTTTCCAGCGGCAACGGTGGGATATCAGGACTTCACTGGCGCTGGTACCGGCAAGCGGGCCTCGGCAAGCTGTTTTCCCACTTTTGAGGGGAAATGCTACCGAAATTTTTCGGCATCAATGGCAGCCACCAAGCAGGCACTAAGTGCAGGGAGAGTGTTGGATATTTTTGGTGCGACAAGGGGCTCACCGTCAACATCAGTGAAGGGGGAAATTGCAGCATGAATCAAGGTGGAACGGCACGTCATTTTTTATCTTTTTTTTGTATGTGCGTGTGGATAGTAGCGAGGCCATTGGCATCGGCCTAGTGGTATCTTTTGGACTAGCAAGGCATATGAGTAGGACGGGCGGTGCCGACGGAATCGACACTCGCAAGCTTTATTTTTTTTGTGAGGCTTGGTAGAAGTGGTTTTGGCGGTCGTCATCATCAGGTGTTGGAAGGAATAGTGCGGGACCACCTGGGACTAGTTGGGACCAGTTGGCACTGACGTGGGACCAATGAACTTCATTGTTTTGGGACGTGTGCGACTCATCGTTTTCACACTTGGGGCTACCGCGTGT